TAGTTAGATTGTACTGATGAAATCATTTTATAACAGCACACTTTCTACTCTTCACTCACCTGAACTGTTTTTTATTTAGATTGTACTGATGAAATCATTTTATAACAGCACACTTTCTACTCTTCACTCACCTGAACCGTTATATAGTCAGATTGTACTGATGAAATCATTTTATAACAGCACAGTTTCTACTCTTCACTCACCTGAACCGTTATATAGTTAGATTGTACTGATGAAATCATTTTATAACAGTACAGTTTCTATTCTTCACTCACCTGAACTCTTATAGTCAGATTGTATTGCTGAAGCTTTTCGTAGTCTAGAGGATGGTTAACCTTGATGTCAGTCCACATGTCTCCGTTGCTGTCTTGTCTAGGTGTAAGATAGAATGTATCTTTGCTGTTTGTTTGCTCATTACTTCCTTTCATCAGTGTGTAAAAAACAGTTGGTTCATTAGGAATACCTGACCTAAAAAAAATCAAAAACATTTCAGTAAGCTATAGAAAAAAGTTTTCAATCTAAAAATATTTTTATTTGCATGATCAGATAAGAAGGAGGATGATAAACCTAGCCAAACGTAGTGGTTTAGAAGAGTTTGTAAACATATTTATTTGCTTATCTGTGAACAAAGAGTTGATCCAATAACACGTGTTGATACTTCACTAAGTTGTTGTTGTTGTTCGAAGTTAAGCACAAAGCTACACAATGGGCTATCTGTGCTCTGCCCACCACGGCCCTTTTACTACAGAAATAGTTTAAAAAACTTTTAACTCCGTTAATAGAAAAGTAGATTAAAGTATCTTTATCAGGAATGAAAAACCAACACTAAATACCAGATTTACATGGCTCTTAGCCAAACAAAGTCAAACCTTTGTGTGGATTAATTTAATTTATTGTTTTAGAAATTAATTGAACTCAGTATACCACATGTTTCAAAAAATGTTTAAAATAAGCACTCTATCTAACGGACACTGATATTTCTTTATTTTATCTTTTCTCTGATCATCAGAATAATTAGTAACATTTCAACTTTCCTTGAACCTGTTTCGGAAACTAATTTTATTTCCAACAACGAAAATGTATTCCATTAACTGATACCTGATGAAGACCTATGGCCGAAACTAGTTGTGTTTTTAAAAATATTTTGCTCGTGATATTTTTAGGGTAATAAAGCTTATTAAATTTATTCAAAAAGTTTCGAAACATGATTTCAGTCCTAAATTAATATACTCAGTCTGCTAACATAGTAAGTTTTTCCTGTAAATAAATAAGTGGATACTATCAGAAATATATTTGAAATGACGTCACCATTAATTATTTCGAAGTTTATAGAGTAGATAATACAATCACTATGTCGTCAGAATACTATCTTTCATTAATTAATTTAGAAAAATATTTATTCAGTGTAATAACTGCATAGCAAGATATTAAAATCTTGCTGTTTGGAGATATTCTTTGTGAGGTTTTTCTAAGTCCCTAATCAAAATTCTCGGGCACAATGGTCTATAACTTAATCGAGTTAGGTTATCAGTTGACTAAGATCATTGGTTGATTCTCAAAACAAAACTGGAGAGCCTATTCACCGTTTTAAGTGAAACATATAACTTCTCTGCTTTAATCTGATAATTCATACGTAATTCCAACAGTTTCAAATCTTGGTTCCAACACACAGCAGGATAGGTTTACTGTACCCTGTGCTAATACCAATAACAATATGCAAGTTCTGAACTTGAAGGTCATCTGCAAGCCTAAATCGCAACTCGCTGAAATAGTTGTCATGCTCTTGAAACTTTCCATCCTATTGAAATACTCTTGTTTAACTTGCTTTGCTAAATCAAGATATGCTAGTTAACTATAACCAGTGTAACACTGGGAGAATTTTCCCACCATTTTGTTTACTCGCTTTGTGTTATCATTATAAATTGTCAATGGAGTTTTCCTGAACGAGAGATTTACTTGTCACCATTTTTAGTGGTTTATTGATTCTAGAACCTCGCCAGTAATCCTCATGGTGACAGATCACAGCTTGCCAACATGAACACAGTGAAAATTTCCATTCACCCGATAACAAATGTTTTGTTATGTCCACACTTTTAGTTTGAATTTTGTTTATGCATGTAGCTTTTATGTTTCGTTATTGAGCTTATGTTGTTAATTTATATGTTACTAAGATCTAAAATCAAGGTTCGTTTCCCTTGAACAATGGGAAGTCATACGTAACCGTGCATCAAACCTATTGTATTTCTAACGGTTGGAGAAGGCTTGTATGGGTAATGAAGAAAAACTTTAATATAAGTTTAACATAACAGCAAATGTACAACGTTTCGACAAGGTTTTGTCATCATCAGGTACAAGTTGCAGATTTGCTGTTATGTTAAACTTATATTAAAGTTTTTCTTCATTACCCGTTCAAGCCGTCTCCAACCATTATTAGTCTCAAAATGGGTTCCTCGTCATCGAATTTGAGTCTATTGGATTTTTGTATTGAGATTCAAGGGAGCAAATTTCGCAAGGTACTTTTATTTTTGTCCCTTTCCCGTTGTTCGAACCTATTCTTAGTGAAGTGCCCCCTAGTGACACAGCGGTATGTCTGCGGACTTATAACGCTAGAATCCGGGTTTTGATACAGGATTATGAAACATGTAAGAGATGCAAAGAAAAGATATGAATATCAACCTTTGGGTTCAAACTACGCTTTTTACTATTACGACGGACCTATAATGCACGAGATTCGACAAATTATACTGTTGTTCACAGCAAAGATATAATAAAGAAATATAGCTCACTAGATGGAGCACTTGTTTTAAACATTTCCTAAACACACACACACAAAATGTATTAATCGTTAGATTTTACTTTATCACTACTCGTTGCCAATGACTACATAAGTTATATAGTTAAAAGAAAAACCTCAAACTGCACTAGGTTTAATGTGAGGCTTGCAGAAAAGTCAGGTATTACACTTAAAGTACTTCTCGTAAAAACGGTGTTACATCCTGTCCCAATGTCCGAGTAAAAACTACGTTACTTACACTTCAGGTCGGACAGTAAATGATCTGTGAAAAACGTTGTTTTTAGCCTATCCTGTACATTGTATGGACAAAATTATAACTGAGAAACATTACAAACCTATATAGGAAATATTAGTGTTTTGCAAAATTATTTTATTTTCATCAATGAAAAACTTATGATGTAGGCTTATGGCCAAGGCGATTCGTGATTTTCTTTAGTATTTTATTTGTGAGAATTTTATGAGGTAATAAAATTTATTAACATATGCATAAAATGTTGTTTGAAACTGTCTTTAAGTCACAAGAGCACTGTGTTGTTTAAATGATAAATACCTGACACTGGACAAATCTCGTGATGTATTATTGGGATTACAGCTAAAAATAACCATACCATCGAAGGCACTCAGTTTATGAATAAGGATAAATGCATTATTATCATTATAGTTTAATTTTTCATGGGGGCAGTTACCTCTTTGTGTGTCAAATGTGCCTTGAACATTTTTGGCAGTCACCTCTTTAGGAAAGATCAATCAATGGAAAAATCGATTTGTTTATAGAATATCACAGACAGACATATTTAAAAGTACAACACTGTGCTTCATGTGGTGACACGTGTTCTTAGCTAACACGATCCATGCTGCCACAGCTATTTAAGAATAATACAAGCTTGTATAAATGTGTGAAAGCTCGTGAATTTACAACACCAATAGAACTGGCGATCTTGTCTTGAACAAACGAATGTCTAACATAATTTCCCTCACCCAGAAACAAGACTATTTAAGACCTTTAAGTCTTTAAAACAGACACCTTTATCCTAATAACAGGTTTAATTAGGAGTAACTGTAAAACACCAATTTCATTATCTTCGTAACAAATCCGACTATAGTCTGATCCCCAAAATACATACAATCTTATTCTAATAAAGATTACAATCTCGATAACATATACGCGTTCATTCTCGTAAAATGACATAATTCCTGATAATAAGTTTGTCTATGCTTATAAATTCAGAATACACAGATGTTCTTGTTCTCAGAACAAGACTCTCCAATAGCCTGACCAATAAATGCAGTTATCCTCGTTGTTTTAACAGATTTATTCAGGAATATAATTCTGAATATGAAGACATTTTTAGCCTTGCAACAAGACTCTTCCAGAACGTAAGAAAACAAATATCTTTATTCTAAAGACAAAAATATCTAGAAGTATAAGTTGTATAACATTTAAAAAGTAAACAAGCTTTTCATTTTAACCCAGGTTTTCAGAACTCTAATCCACAGAAAACATTTTTTTAATTCTCATAGCAAGATCGACAAAAAACACAATCCTAAATATGTTCGTAAGTCTGATTCTGAGAAGAGAGTTTTATCGTTATTACAAGTTTGCAGAGGAACATGGCCCTAAAGGAAAGCTATCCCTCTATTCATACTAAAAGTATCCCTAATAACATAGATTTTATCATAATTTATTATAAGATTTATGGAAATCATAACCCTAAAAGACGGAAATCCTTGTATTCATAAGAATGTGTCTAGAGAATTAATTTTGAGAAGGCAGAATTTGTTATCCTCATTACAAATCTGAATAAAACATTTTAAACAACAAACCTTCTAATACTTATACCATTATTGTTCTGTAAAACAGTTCCTAAGAGATAAATGTCTTTTTCCTTTTAACAAGAATATTAAGATGTATATCTCCAACAGTCGACATTCGTAATTCAAACAAATATTTTTCTCGAATCTAACCATAAAAAATCTGTTTCTAAGCAAAACCATCTAGAAGCCTAAGGTAGAAAAAATTTCTTTCTCTTTCCTAAAAAATTGTCTAGGGACCAATCTTGAAAAAAGACTCTCATCTTTATGCTAGTTACAAGCTATCTAGAAGCATAACCCTGAAAAAAAAACACTTTTATTCGCATAAAAAGGCTATTCAGGAATCTAACCGTGAGAAGATAGGCACCCTTATTTGCATAACAAGGCTATTCAAAAATCTAACCTTGAATAGACATACATTTCTTTTCTCATAACAAGGCTGTTAAGAAAGCTAACCTTGAGGAGACATTCTCAAAACAAGTCAATTCGAACTTTAATCCTGAAAAGACGTACATTATTATCTTCATAACAACATTAGAGGAATATATATTGCTGAAGCTAATTCATGGACTAAACGGTGTTTTCAGTTAGCTCATGAGCCATTGTTTCTTTGTTTTTGTTTAAGTTAAATAGTGTGGCAAAAACTTGAAACAGTTTCTTTCAAATGAATACAATTCAAATTTTGTTGTGCTTTACTTATTCTCAGTACCTTATGTATACGTGTATAAAACTAATTTACATTCAATATTAAATTTCATTTTTAGGTGTTTGATAGAGAAGGAGAAGATGGTCGATTTGTAAGTTTGACCGTTAAAGCTACGGACAGAGGCAATCCTCCGCTTGAGGGAGCCTGTTCCTTTAAGGTCGAGATTACGGACATCAATGACAACCCCCCACTTTTTGATCGACATGAATACAAAGAACACGTGAAGCAAGATACACCCGTTGGAACAAGTCTTTTACGAATGTCAGCTTCAGACGAAGATGCTGATAACAATGGAGCTGTAGTGTACAACTTAACATCTTCCCACAACCCATTAGACCTTAGCTACTTCACAGTCAATCCTGACTCTGGTTGGGTCATTCTTCAGAAGCCGTTAGATGTAAGCTATTTAGTACATAGTTTCTCAGTTGTAACTATACCATGCTCTCTAGTGACTTAATTAAAATTATTAAAATTTCTAAAATTCATTTCTGATTAAGGATTGGAATAAAACATGAATGTTACACAAAATAAGATTCAATAGAAGAATAACATAAAACATATATACTTTGCATACATCGGCACAGCATCTCGACTTTGTTTTCTGAGTTAGACACTGCACGTTTCCTGGTGTTTTATTAGGTGTCTATTATCGGTTACGAAAACAAATTCGCGAAAAAGGAAGAGGATACCGAGGATGTCGTAAACAAACCACTTATAACTGACATTGAATCATTTTTTTTTGTGGGTGGGGGGAGGTAATAACAATCATCCATTTTTTAGTGAAACGTGCCAGTGATAATATTAGATGAATGTATAAAGATTTTTGGATAATATTTCTGTTTAATAGGGTACTTTTTAATTGAAGAAATTCTTTCTGTGATTGATTAGAGCTTCTCCCACTTTGCAGACTACTTTTAGTTAATGTCAGCGAACTTTCTGATTTTAAAAGGATTTTTTGTGAGTTTTCTGCTGTCAAACATAATGAACTTCCTTGATGAATTGTCTTTTGATAAATCCACAAAGTATATAATTTTAGAATACCGTACTATAACTATGGACTGACAATGTTTATGACATTTTCAAAACTTATAAAATATTTGTTCTCCTATTTGATGAGTAGTTTGAAATTTTAAATTATTTAAACAAAATTATAGAAAGATATATATATATATATCGCCTTTTATAGGTTTTAGGATTTTTCCATTTAATTGAAAGATGAAGCAAACTAGTTTAGGTTTTTTCTAGCTTTTAAAGTTTCAAAAAATAGGGACAACATATTGATTAGTATATATTTGTGAAAGTGACTCCTAGCGACTTTCTAGGGAACTCATATTAAGAAGTTGAGAATCTTTAACGATTCCTTCATCTTCACCTTGCTAGGTTTATCTATAAATACATCATGTAGTTTACAAAGAATCGACCAATAATTAAAATAATTGAATTAAATAACGTTAATTAACCATGTTCTATTCTTATTTCAACGAATATAAAGTTTAGAAATAATTGAATTATAATTGCGGATAGAGTTTTTTGTCACTCTCTTTCAAGAAACAAAATGCTTTGTTGTTGATGTGCATAATTATAATACTAATATTTAAATTTTATTGAAATACCTAATGTAACGTGAAAGTAATATATATATATATATAAAGGTAATCAAAATCATTCTATTGATTAGCTTGAGTTTTACTACCTTCAAATAATCAAAAATTAACCAACATGTTTGTCTAGGAAGTTATAACAAACATCAAGGTATTCATCATTTCTCACTAATCAATATTAAATGCCAGCACATTTAAGACGTAACTTGTTTTCGTTTTTCATCTTCAGCATAGATAAAATGTTGATCATTTGATTTCATTGTTCAATCTCAGTTAAACCAGTTTTTATTTTGTAGCGTACATAAGCTTTCTTCTGTTACGCAATTTGTTTAATTAGTTAATAAATAAATTATAGAAATAAGTAGCTTACCATATATTATCAAGTAGTCATAAGAGGTATAATTATTCTTATTTCGTTTAATCAACATATACAGAAAGTGTGATATAATGTAATCCGAAGAATGTTAACCAAGCCTTTGTTTATGTTGTTCAGCGTCAACAGTACAATTTACGGGCCGTTGCTTTAGACAAAGGAAAACCACAAAATAAGGCAACAGTGGAATTAACTATAGAAGTCGTAAACAGAAACAGCAATCCTCCAGTGTGGGACCAACCAGTTTATGGCCCAATTGCAATCAAGGAGAATATTCGGCTTGGAGAAGTGGTTACTAGTATTAAAGCTAAGTGAGTTAAGTTTCATTAAATCTTACTCAACTAAATGGGTACATGGTTACTAGAATCTAAGCCAAATAAACTTTGTTATTAAACGACATAGTTTTCTAGCATATCAAATTCCAAGACAGTTGTAGTTTATTAAGTTCCTCTCGGAAATGTGACCAAATGACTACCAATATCAAAGCTTGATGAGTTGTATTTCACGATCTTTTACTTGGAGAAACGACTGTGTGGTAAAAAGTGTTCACGTAACGTATTTTTTTACACCATAACTCACCTGATAAAGTAAAGTAGTTCTCCAGTAGAGAGGCTCTGTTGTTACTTTGAATATAATTCGGAGGAATGGTTTCTTGGTTACAAGTATCCAAGCCAGGTGGGCGTGTGATAGTACGTCTCGCTTCGAGATTTTATTTAGTATGAAAACTAGGCGAATTCTTATTCAATGTAATAAATCTAACTTGGTATAGTACATGTCATTGTAGGTGTTTGGACGTAGAGAAATGGTTAGTACTATCGATAGTTGGTAATACGTGTCGCATCTGGTACTTGGACGAATTGTCTATACTGATAAAAAGGTTTCTATCGGAAATATAATATTCAAAATAAATATATGGCAAGCAACAATTTCATTCACTAACGATACTGCATTAATATATTTTGATTAAAAGTGAGCTAGCTAATAGAGTAGAGCTACAAAGTGACATATGAAGTAATGAAGCCTATTATATTAAATAAACGGACCAGAAATATATATAATGTCATAAATCAACAAAACATCTTCAAGGCAGATTTGACACACAAAGAGGTGACTACCAAACAGGTTTAAGGCAGATTTGACACAAAGACATGACTGCCGCACAGGTTTAAATCAGATTTGACACAAAGAGGTGACTGCCGTACAGGTTTAGATCAGAGTTGACACAAAGAGGTGACTGCCAAATATGTTCAAGGCAGATTTGACACAAAGAGGTGACTGATAAACAGGTTTAAGACAGACTTGACACAAAGACATGACTGCCGCACAAGTTTAAGTCAGATTTGACACAAAGAGGTGACTGCCGCACAGGTTTAAATCAGATTTGACACAAAGAGGTGACTGCCAAACATGTTCAAGGTAGATTTGACACAAAGAGGAGACTGCCGCATGGGTTTAAGTTAGATTTGACACAAAGAGTGACTGCCAAACAGATTCAAGACAGAAGTGTAATATGCAAATATTAATATGGTTAGATATTATGGACATTTCATAATAACTTAATTAAATCTAAGACTAAACAGTGGCGGTTAACATTACCAGTTTAAAAATAAACTTGACAAAAATTTTCCAAAATAAGAATGAGAAATTGTTTTATCTCCTAAACCATTACAAATCAAGATATAAATTTACTATATTATTTATATTAGGTATCAACTTCAAGTGTTATTCACGAACAACACTCATGGGACGTTAACAAAATACGCTAGCTAAAATAAAATTCATCGGTTATATGGATATTTAACCTAACCTTAAATTAAATCTGTTAAGCGAAGTGTTTATAAAGGTAAATCTGTTTTTAATCAGACTATTTATAATTTTATGCATTAAAACAATATACGTCAAGAATAAATTATCAATGTACAAGGCGATCCAAATGTTACCAAGCTCAGGTCAGTACATACGAACTATTATAAGTTTCATCTGTTTCAGATGTTTGTTTGTTTTGGAATTTCGCGCAAAGCTACACGAGGGCTATCTGCGCTAGCCGTCCCTAATTTAGCAGTGTAAGACTAGAGGGAAGGCAGCTAGTCATC